CAAAGATTAGAAAATGTTAGAAAATTGGATATGTTGGTGATTCATTCTTGTAATCCTAGTTATTCAGGGGACTGAGATTTGATGGAAGTTTGAAGCTAGTTGGAGTAGAAAAGTCCATGAGACTCTCTTATCTCCAATAAACCATCAAAAAGCTGGAAATGGAGTTGTGGGTCAAGTGATTGAGCACCAACCTTAAATGGGTTAAGTTAAGGGACAAGCCTAGACCCTAAGTTCAAGTCCCAGTATGGGCATAAAAAGAAAGAGGAGAAAGAGAAGGAAGAAGGAGAAGGAGAGAAACACAGAAGGGAAAGGGGGAGGAAGAAAGAAGGCAGGAAGGCAGGAAACAAAAGAAGGAAAGGAAGGAAATGGAGTGGCTGCTATGGCATGGTTGCTACATGGAGTTTTACATGAAGCCAAGAAAATGAAGAAAAGGGTGTTTTATATCTAGCTGATATTAAAATGGCTGTCATGTGAATAGTTAAAAGCCTAATAGTTGGACAGATAATACTTTGAGAGGCATAGATAGAATTTAAAGAGGACCTATGCCTCTCTGAGGTCACATGTTTTTTCTCATGTGTGAAAACTAGACTTAAAAGATAAACATAGGCATAAACACATATGGAAACACACATGGACAGACACAATCTGTGTGTATGCTTGCATAATGTTTGTAAATGTGAGATAGAGAATTAGAGGCAGGAGGGAGAGGAAAAGAGAATGTTAGAGGGTGACCAAAATTGAAATATGTGGCATCTGTGAGTGCAGAAACTTACTAACAGCTGTTGAATACTAGGTGGCAGAGGGTGGGGAAAGAATAAACAAGGGGTTAATCTCAAGAAAGTACTATATCTGTATGTGTAAAACCTCTTTGAACAATTAACATAAACTTAAAAAATGAATGACAGGAATGGAAATCAGGTTTTGTTTGGAATGTGGGTACTAGTGGGAAGGGTAGGTGAATAGAAAGATTGTTCAAGGGTGAAAATGGTCAAAATACTCTACATATTTAAGTGAATATGGAACAAAGAAGTTTTCTGAGATGATTTGGGTAAAGATGATTTGGGAGAGTTACAGAGAGGGTAAGCCTGCCCAAGATACATTGTGTGCATAAATAGACAGGATAAAATGAATCCCCTTTGTACTAAAATGTGGAAAACTAGTTTTTGCTTGGTGCCTGATGGCTCATGACTATAATTTTAGCTATTCAGGAGGCTGAGATGTGAGGATCATGGTTCAAAGCCAGCCCAGGCAGGAAAACTCCATGAGAAAACTGGAAGTGGTGCTGTGGTTCAAAGTGGCAAAGGGCTAGCCTTGAGCAAAAAGAGCTCAAGGACAGTGCCGAGGCCCTGAGTTCAAGCTCCATGACTGACAAAAATAAATGCTTTGTAAGGGCTTATAAAAGTGATTTGAGAATTTATTTTTTTGTATTTCAGTTAGAAAATGTTTCTATTTTCCTTTAAGCATCTGATTTTTAATCATTACTCCTACAGCTTTAGCCAATTGTCTTCTGGCTCCAGTTGTCCCCTTTCTGTCTTAGTCTCCAGTAGAATTCATCCTCAATTCAATAACTAAAAGAGAAAAAAATACATTATAGAACACCATTTGATAGCCAGTTTCCTTGGAAAATTTTAGGTAAGGTGTGTAAGGTGCTTCACATACAGACTTTAGCCAATCAAATTACAAGATTGCTTTCATTTCATGTTAATTGTCTTATTCAATCAATTTCCTTTTATTGTTTGCCTAAAAATGAACCTTTACAGGGTTTCTGGGAGCCTCAGATTAGAGCCATATTAAAGGTTGGAAACTCAGTTTGCTGAAGATTTCAAATAATTCTATTGTCTTAGGATGTGCTTGAAGGCCCACTCTGAAAATGCAGCCCTCCAAACTGTTGTGTATGTTTTTCAATTCTGCAAAAGCTTGCCTAATGGAAATACATATGTATAAACCATGTATATATTCACCAATAATTTAAATATATAATGTATCAAATATATATTTAATTTAATTTGCATCCTATGTTTGTTTTCCTGACAATGTCCAAGTAGACTATTTTGCCTAGATTCACAGATGAGCACCATACCTTCCAAATTTACAATGAATTAGGAGAATATATAAATTGCTAGTGACAACCAAGAAGTTTGCAGCATTTGAGTATATGAGAAGCTACTCTTAGGCTTCAGATCATTCCACTGGAATTAATGGCATCTAAAACTTCTTGTTCTGATGAGATACGGTATCTGCTTGAACTAATTTTATTCGTATTTGCTGGGGAGGTTGGCTCCTGCCTGGTATTAATTCAGAAACCTTGAATGTTTTCTTAGTTTTAATGCACTACCTTTCATCTCCCAAGTATTTTGTTTACTACAGCCTTTATGACTTTATTTTGCTTCATGCAATTCCAAACTTACAGGGTGTTGACATGTAAGGTTTCCTTTGGCCTTGTAGAAAACCAACCTTACTTAGAAATATGCTTGGCTATGGAAGGCATTAAAGTCAGAAAGGAATAAAAACAAATATGTATGTGGAATTTGATTGTCTCACTCTCAAAACACAGATAATAGTGCAAGATATAGAAAAATCAAAAGATCAAGAAAACGTAAGGAGAAAACACCTGTAGGTTTAGCTGTAGATGACTAAATCTTTAAAGTACAATTATCACTTAAAAAATCCAAGTTTATTTTCTTCCAGGACTCCAATAGGAAGATATTAAAATAATGAAATGCAGGGTCTTTTGCGTATTGAAAGTTTCAAAAGGACTTTAACCCTCAACAATCACTTCCCATTGTGAGTTCCTAATATTCTACTACAATCTGAAACTTCATCTTTGGTAATTTTCTGTGAACTTTCTAGATCACATGAAATTTTTAGACATTCAATTCATGCCTCTTTGGAAGTTACATTTGTTTGCCAATATCACAAATGATAATTACAGCCTGAATGAAGGTTCTACCTACTTTCCTTTTTATATTTCAGAATTTCTTGTACATGAAATGTTGAAACATTCATGTAATGTCCTATTGCTGAAAAATCTAATAAATCACTCTACAATGAAAGGCCTTGATAATGTGTATGCAGCTAGACAACAGGGAACACATGACATGGCCTTAGGATTTTCAACATAATTAGGACTATTTCAAATATAACTTTTCTTTTTATCGGATTCAGTCATCTGGAATTTTTTATCACAATAAGTTATTTAAAGCAAATTATTTTAACACATAGTTTAATATTCTTTTCTGTCAAAATACCTGTTGAATAAATTTGGCAAATACAAACATCCTTTGTTCTGTCCTATTTTTTTTTCTTAACTTGCAAACCATTTATTGAAGCTCATGGCTGTGGTATTATTTTTCTCATTCTTTTTCTTCCCACAGCAGAACCAATGTAGCAAACTCACCTATATAACTTAAAAAATGTCTTGTGATTGCCTACATTCTATTATGCTAGCTATTTATTGCTGAATTCCAAAAGCAACTACCATCAAAATTTCTTACCATTTGTTCTTATACAATTTGAAATTGAACAGTATGAGGAAATTTCAATGGGAGATTCTTGAGGAAATTACAGAAAGTGAAAAGTTGCTGTAGAAAGAGGTATTATCCAAATCAGAGCATTTAATGACTTAACTAAGGTAAAACAAAAAGAGCCCACTGACTCTTTGTCTTTAATGCTAGGTATAACCAGAGTTGAATAAAATTCAGCAAATTTCCAAAACTGTTTATGTTCTGGGAAAATATCAGAGAGATTGCCTTACCAACCTGGTTTGCAATTGTTTGTAAAGAAATGAAGCCTAGATTTTGTTTACTGAATAACTACCAGCCTCTACTAGAGAACAGCAGAGCAATTGCCTTTCAGAAAACCAGAACCTTGACAAATTTCGTAAGGTGATATGGTCACCATATGCTGTGAGAAAAACATCACACCTTTTCTCCAGAATGTACCCTATGTGTACATTTTGCTTGTTTTGAATTTGTGGAGTAATTTTCTGCATTTGATAAGTGGGGAAAGGAAGCTTCATCTATGTCCTAGGACACGAAGCCTTTCAAATCACTGGACCAAGCACTGAACCTTTAAGACCTATGGGGCAGAAAGGAAAATGCCATATTTCAGAGTGTAAACTCTCATCCTTTTCTCATATTCTATAGTTACTGTTTTGAGATCTTAATAAATTTTTCCTGTCATTTTAGTGGGGGTAGGGCAAGACGGTCATTTCCAAATCTGAGGGATGAGAACATAACAAGGTAAGGCTGTGCCAGAACAGTAATGGAAACACTGTAAAGCTAGGAGCACAACTGCCATCCACAATCCAAGTCTGTTTTCCCAAAGTGGTTACAGGTTCTCCACCTAGCTGCCTGTCAAAAGCAGGTGAGCTACTCACAACTCTGATCTGAGTAAGACCTGATTTTGGAGGAGGGTTCCTCCTTGCTTTGGCTCTGGGAGATTTATTTGTTTTCCAAGTGCATTAGGTGGGCCGGAGCAAAGCTAAGGGGTTACATCTGGAGTTTTTACACTCTGGAATCTTTCTCCTGGAAGCTAGGTGAAGCCACCTTTTAGCTGGGATGCAGAAGTGGAGGGAAAAGGATAACAAGTCATCTTCAGGAGTCTGGCTTTGTGTTCCCCATCCTACAAACGTGGGGTTAGGAGATGATGGGGTCAGAGCATAGTCCACTTTGAGAGCACTAGGTAACAAAAATTGGCCATTTTCTGAGGAGACTGAGCTGCCAGAAGCGGAGGGATCAAAATACTGGTTTCCTCCTCTCCATCTCCATTCACTAGCAAGCCCCGAACCGCCTCAGGTAGCCACAGGCTGGCCTGGGAGTCTCCACCTCCTCGCTGGCGGCAGCCAGTCGGCGCGCTCGGGCGTCAAGAGGGTGGGGCCCATTGGCTGGGGGGTGCTGCCAGTCTCGGGAGGGGGTGTGGTGGGGGTGGGGACTTGTGCCACCGCGGGTCCGGACTGCTCACTGTTTGCAGGGTGGTGGGAGAGCCTAGAGCAGGGGCAGGGCTGCTGGAGACTTGCGAACAGTTTAGATAGAGCAAGAACGCGCCCGAGAGAGCGAGCGAGCGAGCGAGCGAGCTAGAGTGACAGAGTGCTAGGGGACCTAGAGGACTCAGGAAGACAGAGCGAGGGCCTAAGGACCCACGGTAGAGACAGAGTGACCATGGCTGTCTCTGCACCTCCGGTGATCTCTGCAACTTCCAGCAGCGCCGGCGTCCCGGGGGGCTTATTTCGGGCCGATCCCTTGTATTCGACTTCTGGAGAGCCCCCTCGACTAACCCCTAACATGATCAACAGTTTCATGGCTAATAATCACAGCGGCAGTGGAGGGATTGGTAGTGGCAGCGGTGGCAGCGGCAACTCCAACGCTAACACCAACGAGTGCCGGATGGTCGACATGCACGGGGTGAAGGTGGCTTCCTTCTTGATGGATGGCCAGGAATTGATCTGCCTGCCGCAAGTGTTTGATCTTTTCCTTAAACACCTGGTTGGGGGGTTGCACACAGTATACACCAAGCTGAAGAGACTGGACATATCCCCCGTGGTGTGTACTGTGGAGCAAGTCCGTATCCTCCGCGGGCTGGGAGCCATCCAGCCGGGGGTGAACCGTTGTAAACTCATCACCAGGAAAGACTTCGAAACTTTGTTCACCGATTGCACCAATGCCAGGTGAGACACTATTTTCTCTACTCGCTAGTTTCTCTCACCCCTTTGCCCTCTTTTGTATGTCTCATTCAACTTTGTAGAGAGTCAGAAACTAGCTTGCCTCTTCATGCTGTAAATCGCTGAGGAAAGAAGACTAGAAGGACTCATTAATTCCAAGTCCTGTTTCTAGTCTGTGCTCAGTGGCAGGGATCGGGGTTAAAAAAAAAAAAAGTCCTGCATAAAACTTAACTTTGCAGTCGTCTACTGAAAACTTTCCAGCCCTTCGCTCATATCTTGCATGGCTTTTTTTTTTTTTTTTGACCGCTTGTGATTTATTTGTTAATTTGGTTTTCTTTCCTGCTCCTTTGTGGCCACACGGGTCGGATAGGTTTCCTCCTAAACATAACACTAGGGGTTTGGGGAGCGTGTGTGTGTTGGCGGGGGGGGGGGGGGGGGGGGGGGGGGTGGCTGGCTGAGCTGTAAAATTGGGCTCCTGAGCTGGCCATAGGGGATGCAGAGAGTCGGAAGTTTAGAATCCATCCCAGAGGGTGATTTGATCCCCATCCTGTGTGTTTGTTGTGATAGTTTGTGGAATGAGTGTTGTTGTTAGAGTTGTTGTTGTTGTTGTTGTTGTTGTTGTGTGTGTGTGTGTGTGTGTGTGTGAGAGAGAGAGAGAGAGAGAGAGAGAGAGAGAGAACGAACATAAGTGCGTGTAAGGAGGAGTGTACATGCCTGCTGCGCAAAGCTCCCTGATGCACGGTACAGGAAAGTAGGTTTGAATCTTCTATCTTAAAAACAACGACGACCGGTGCTGCTTTCCTGGGATCGTCCCTTTTGGGCTGTCTGCAGAAGGTGATAGGGGGCATGAAATGCCGGGCTGGGCTGGGACTGGAGGGTTGGTATGGAAGTTAGCAGTTTTTGTAGAGAGATGGTTTGAGCTCTTCTCCCTAGGTAAACAGTGGAACGGATCCCATTTCTCTAAAGAGGATTATTTAGCTGATAATGACTACCTTCCCTGGTTCACATCATAGGTTAGAAACACATTAGGGAGTAAGTGTACATGTGCATATCAGAAACACACTGTGTTCAATGCTTTGAATACAAGGAAAAGAAATAACATTCAAGAATATTTGACTTTTAAAATATCCATGAATTAATCTTGCTAGTGTTCACTCCATCTCCAGTCTTCTGTTAATACCTATTAGAAAAGTACAAATGTGTTACCTGCGATTGGTATACAAATGGAGAAATCATCATCTGAGCCAAGGATTTTGTTGTGGAACAGCACTACTATTTATTATCTTGCAGAGAACTTCTGCTTAAGTACACTGTTTCACAAAGCAACTTTAAATAATGAACTAAAACAAAAGCTGTAACTCAGTTGCCACATCTGTTGTAAAATGCAAATTGCTATGTTTAGTTGAACAATCCTGCCAAGTTGGAGACAAACTGTTGCTTACTGCTACAGTAAGATAATGCTACAGAACTTACAAAAGAACATTTCCTTATTCTTTCAAGTGTTCTTCTGTGTTCAAGCAATTGAACAGACACTTGTTCCTATGAGAACTTGTACCTGATTCATATTTAGGGCTTACAAACCTCGTTTATTAGATCAGCTTTTCTTAAGGAAGACAGATGACCTTAAAACACAAAGGATAACAGCCTCATTCAATAAAGCAAGCAATTATGGGTGGAAAGGGTAGAAGAAAATTTTATTTTGATCACAAAACATTTTACTAATGACACAAACTCGATTCTTTCCTAGGGATGGAGGCCTGTCTCATTTATTTGTTATTATTCAAATATACTCACCCCTAAATAATTGCACACAGGGAAATCTATCCTCTTAGGAACTTTCTCTTTCCTCTCTCCTTCCTCCTCCTCTCTTCCTTCTCTAGCCCTCTTCCTCACCTCCCTATTCTCCTTTCTTCCCCTCCCCCCTCAAAATTTCTCATTCAAAGAGTGATCAATTCTTACACATAGGAAACATTTCCTCCTGAATAATTAATTTATACATGAGAAAAATCTATGTTTACCTTAAAAGTACACACATTAACATTTCATTGTGACTTTTTATACCTTCCTCTGTAAATAGAAACTTTATTTTTAGTTAGAGGAGCTTACCAAACTGAAAAAAAAAAGATAAATTATTCTGCATTCAAAGGCAGATGCACCTCTTCTACTTTTGGACTCTGCTACAATATATTTAGAGGTTATTTTAAATCTGATTAAGAGAAAATTCTTATCAGTATTTACATAGCTAACTTTTTTGCTTGAGTTAGTTTGTATATTTACATGTTTGTAGGTCAAAGAAACATTGAATATGGAGGAAGAAGTATTTGTAAAATGATGCATGTACCTTCTATTGTACTTTTTCTTCATGGGTCTTTTATTACACATGTTTTCTACAATATATTACAAGTATTTCAATATATAGTGGTAAAAAATATGAAATTTATTAGATTGTAGGGATACAATCCATAAATGAAGATGAGAGGAACTACTAGAAAGAAACATACATGGCAAATTTAGATGGGAAACCACTGATAATCTCTGAAAATTTTAACTAATAGTAATATAAATAGGGTAACATTTTCAGATACCCTCATTGACATGATAAAATGATAGAATATGATAATGTTTAAACAAGATGCTTCATGGCTTTGGTAACATTATTTCTAGAAATATGTGTAAAAATGATTCAATTTTATATTGTCAAATAAAAGTTACAAGTAGCATTTAGATCAACATTATTTCTATGGCTTTAAAAGCCTTTAAAAAAGACTTTCAAAGTCTGCTAAAAGGAAAATGAGACGTGTAAAGAGGATAAAGGTCCAACATAGACAATGGAAGGGAGATGATACATTACACCAGTGAGAGATATGAGATGCAGGAAAAGAGCAGAATGTTGCCACCAGAAGGAAGAAAAGGTGCAGGAAAAGATCCTGGAGAGATGCCCAAAGAGGATGGATGATGTTAATACTGGAGACCTGGAGAAACAAGGTTGGCCTTCAGGACTGATGACTTCTTGCTGCTTCTAGCTAAAGGTGAGGGGGAGGAAAGTAGAACCCAAAAAGTACATGTTCAGTTAAGTAGAAAATTTCACAGGCTATTCTTATTTGAAAGAAGAGCTTCATCTTCATCTCTTGATTGTCCTAATACATTCATGAGTAAAAAAACTATTTGTAATGGTGTTATTGATAATTTTCTTGCATAATCTCTTCTCAACTTCTATGTCAAATATGTGGGAGAGACTACCTGTTCTGTCTGACAGGGTGTGTTTTAAATTTAGAATGTTTTTAGTGCTCTCCTTGAGTGTACAAATGTACCATTTCTAAATTGCTCTTCTTCAGAACTTGATTTGGTTCAGTGCACATTTTTATTAATGTGCATGAAGAAAAGTGAATGAGTAAAATTTTTCTATGATTACTTTGTGATCATACAAAAGTCACACTAAGATCTCTACCAATGCCTTTTATTTTAGTTAATTTTAGTTTTTATTTTAGTTAATTACTGAAATATTTAAAGTTGTCTTCTCAGAAAAGAAGCTGGAAAATAATATATGCTTCAACTGCTAAAGAACAGTACAACTAAAACTCTTGACAACTCAGTGTACTATTAGGTAAGTCAAGTTTTCCATTACTGCACTTTTAAAGGGCTATGAAATATTTTCCTTTCATGCCCTTTACCCTAAAAAATACTATAGGGAATTATTTAGATAATTAAAAATGATGAAAAGACACAAAACCAAATGAGAATTATGTCTTTGTTTTTGTAAGCACTATCATGTTGGTTTAATTTCTTGAACAAGAAAACTTGTAATTTATATTCTCACCCTTTATGCATTGAGATGTGTTTATTAAGTTCTCTTAAGTTTATTAGTGGCAAAATACTAAATCAAAATTGGTTTCTATTAAATAGGAAAATCAACCACACTTTAGTAGTATCTCTTTCTATGTACCTGTCTGCATAAAAGTAACTGTCAGGTTGCATGATCAGCATTTGATTTTGTTTGAGGAGCAACTGATTAAATGTTATTCAGTCACTTAAATGCAGTTGAATAGATGCTTGATTAAGTACATATATGATTAGGAAACATTTTAATAATTATTTAGAGATATGACTCAACATAAAACAAATGAAATTCAGTTTAAAAATTAAATTCAAAATGTTTCAGTTATTTTGACAGAATAGAAACATGATGTGCTTTGATAGAAAACAACTTATGCAAATTATAATAACATTAAAATATTTTAAAATTACTTTTAAATTCTAGAAGTATGATTATTGTCAGCAGTGGATAAGTTTCGCTTTGTATTAACACTTGATGAATATTGTATGTTTCATGAGCCATACAGTGTATATACTTTACTCTGAAAACTGACATTTTGCTTTCGCAGTAAAGTTAAATATCATAAAATCTTAAATAACTTATAACACTTTACTGGGCTAATACTTTGTATTATTTATATTTTCAGAAATGGTAAAAAGGTTCTAGAAGTGAATCTGAGCAGTAAATTCAGATATTTTATTCCACAGGGATAGTCACATTGTCTGCTAAAAGCAGTCACATAGTCAACAATGCTGTGTTTTTATTTGATGATTGAGGTCAGGATTATATTGAAAGCAATGGAGGCATATGCCAATGTACTGAACTTTCATGTGTACATTAATTTGATATATGTACTTCTATATTAGCAATGATTTTGCATTTATGTAAATACTTTAGCTAGCATTCATATTGCTTCAAACACTCATTTATGTATACTACATTAAAAATGATCATGACATTATAGAATACATCTCTGGATTTTTATGTATAATAAATATTTATCTTAATATTGTATAAGAATGATAAAGAATTAGGCTGTATTTGTCTTTAAATATAAATGCTTTATGTGATCTCACTTTTAGAGGTTATCAAATAAGAATGATTTGTCTGTTTTTAAATAAACTTATTCTCTGTCTTAATGAAATACATAATCATTTTCAAGATGCTTCACACAAACAAAATTGTGAGAAGC